GATATCCTTGTTCCATGTCCTCTTCTGAATCCAGCTTGAATTTCTGGCAGTTCCCTGTGGATGTACTCCTGCAACTGCTTTTCAATAATCTTCAGCAAAATTTTACATGTGTGTAATATTAATGATATTGTTCAATAATTTCTGCATTCTGTTGGATCACCTTTCTTTGGAATGGGCACAAATACAGATCTCTTCCAGTCAGTTGGCCAGGTAGCTGTCTTCCAAATATCTTGGCACAGACAAGTGAGCACCTCTAGTGCTGCATCTGTTTGTTGAAACATCTCAATTGGTATTCTGTCAATTCCTGGAGCCTTGTTTTTCACCAACGCCTTCAATGCAGCTTGTACTTCTTCCTTCAGTACCATTGGTTCTTGATCACATGCTGACCACTGGAAATGGCTGAATGTTGACCGTTTCTTTTTGGTACAGTGACTGTGTATTCCTTCCATCTTCTTTTGATGCTTCCTGTGTCATTTAATATTTTCCCTATAGAATCCTTCAATATTACAACTCTAGGCTTGAATTTTTCTTCAGTTCTTTCATCTTGAGAAATGTCCAACATGTTCTTCCCTTTCAGTTACCCATCTCCAGTTCTTTGCATATGTCATTATAATACTTTACTTTGTCTTCTCTAGCTGCCCTCGGAAATCTTCTGTTCAGCTCTTTGACTTCATCATTTCTTCCTTTTGCTTTAGCTACTCTACATTCAAGAGCAAGTTTCAGAGTCTCTTCTGACAACCAGTTTGGTCTTTTTTTTCTTTCCTGTCTTGTTAATGAACTCTTGCTTTCTTCATGTATGATGTCCTTGATGTCATTCCACAACTCATCTGGTCTTTGGTCATTAGTGTACAATGTATCAAATCTATTCTTGAGATGGACTCTAAATTCAGGTGGGATATACTCAAGGTCATATTTTGGCTTTCATGGACTTGTTCTAATTTTCTCCAACTTCAACTTTAACTTACCTATGAGCAACTGATGGTCTGTTCCACAGTTGGCCTGTGGTATTATCTAAATTTTGTTAGAACTTGCCAAATTTTCCTCCAAAAGGGTGGTACCAATTTCTGCTTCCACAGTATATGAGTTTTCCCTTTTACTCATACCTTGACAATACTAGATAATGTCAATCTTTTCCATTTTTGCCAACCTAATAGGTGAAAACAGTATTTTTTGTTTGATTTGATTTGTTTGATTATTAACAAGTTTGAGTGTCTTTACATAAATTTGTTGGCCATTTGGATTTTTTTCCTCTGAATTTCTTTTTAATATATTTTGCTCATTTTTCTATTAGGTTATTCAGCATTACCTAAATGACTGGTAGGAGCTCTGAATATATCATGGATATTAATGCCCTATCTGTATATTGTATTTCAAATATTTTCCCTATTCTTCATTTTCCTTTGAATTTTATTTTTAGTGCATTTTGTTGTATAGAGGTTTTTCATTTTATGTCTATTTTTATTTTCTTTTATGGACTTGGTGAAATGACTCACACTTAGAAAGTCCCATCTATTCGGTTGTTTATTCTTTTGACATATACTTATCTTGCACCTACTGTGTGCCAGGCACTGTCTAGGTACAAAGGCAAGATCACTGCTCTAGGGAAGCATAAACTTCAGTAGAGTGAAACATATGTAAATAAATAGACAAGACAATTTCAGGCAGTGGTAACTGCTTTGAAGACAATAAAATAGGGTGAGGGAATAGGGAAAGACTAGGGTGGAACATGGCTACTTAAATAGTGGTAGTCACAAAAGGCCTCTCTGAAGAGGTAACATCTGAGCTGCAATATCAAGATGGAGGCAAAAAGTTCCAGCAGAGAGAAGAGCCAGTGCCTTGTCCCTGAGGCAGGAATGCAGTCGTCATGCCTGAGGATCAGAAAGCTGGCCAGGCACCTGAAACAGAGTGAACTGGGAAGAGGGGGACACGGCCAGATCATCTAAAGCCTGGGAGGCCATGTGAAAAAGTTTGGATTCCATCCTAGGTTCATAGAAGGCCACTGGAGTTTTTAAGAGTGGTTCAAGAGCTAACTTGCATTTTCCAAATATGTTTATTTTTTTATGATGAAAAAAGTAAGCATATACCAAAGTAGAGAAAATTATAATAGTCTGCCACACACTTATCTACTGTTTCGTGTGTACGTATTTTAAAGGGGATCCTAGACCTCATGTCATTGATCCCTAAATACTTCACAGTGCATTGTTAATAATTATGGATGCTTTATTACATAACCACAACACCAGCATCATACCTAACAAAACTAACAAACAGATCCTTCATATTATTTGAAAGGAGGCTTGGTGGCACAGTGGTTAGGCGCTTAGCTGCTAACCGAAAGGTTAGCAGTTCAAACTCACCGCTGCTCCATGGGAGAAAAAATGTGGCAGTCTTCCATAAAGCTTACAGCCTTGGAAGCTGTAATCTTTATGAAAGAGTTCTACTCTGTCCTATAGGGTTGCTATAAGTCAGAATTGATATTATTTAGTAAGACACAATTCCATAATAAAATTCCCCCACTTGTCTTAAAACTGCCCCCCTGCTTTTAGAGTTGGTTTATTCAAATCAAGATCCAAACTAGCTCCACATGATGCATTTGGTTGATAAGCCTCTTTAATTCTCTTCTAATTTACAGGAGAACTTCCCTTTTCTCTTTTTTCCTCTTCTTCCACTTCTCACAATCCTACTTATCAACTTAAGTTGCTTATCTTCCTTCCTTCTCTTTTCCTTTCTTCCTTCTTTTCTGTCTTTCTTCAATAAATACGTACTGTAAACCTTTTTGCTGCCAAGGACTGAAGAAAGTCTGGTGAACAAAACCTTCACGGTCTCTGTAGAACATATATCCATATCTGTTTCTCCAATGCATTGTTACAAGGGTAACATTCTACAGGATAGTATAGCATCCATTCTAAAGGATAATGAAGCATGTCTCTTTCTTCTGCTATAAAATGAGGATACTAATGCCTACTTCATACTAATGTCTTCAAGCAAAAAGATGCTTGGGCTTTGCCTCTGGGCACCCCATTTTGGGTAAGCCAGATAACACACCTGTAGCAGCATAGAAATAACTGGATTTAGCAAGAACACTAAGTTAAAACCTGAGGCTATGAGACGGTGCTGTTACTCATAACACTAGTCTTTGAGTCACATCAGGAATTGAAGAGTTGATTTGGGGTTCCAGTTCTTGCAGCTTGCACAGTTAGCTCTTTGTGAGGACTGAATGAAATAGTGTATTTAATCTCCCTAATGTGGGAAGGAAACCCTGGTGGCGTAGAGGTTAAGAGCTATGGCTGCTAACCAAAAGGTCGGTGGTTCAAATCCACCAGGCGCTCCTTGGTAACTGTATGGGGCAGTCCTACTCTTGCCCTATAGGGTCGCTATGAGTTGGAATGGACTTGATGGCACTGGGTTTTTTAATGTGGGAAAGTCCAAAGAGCAGGCATTCCAAGGGGATAAGAATAAAGTACAAGACTTCTTTGATATAGTCTCGGAAGTCCTGCAGGGTGTCTTCTTCCACATTCTGTGGTTACAAGCACATGACCAAGGCCAACCTAGATTCAAGGGGAGATAAATTAGACTCCACCTCTTAGTGGGGAAAAAGCAAGGTAACATTGTGAAAGAGCAGATGGGTGTGAGATATTGTTGCAACTCTCTTTGGAAACACAGTCTGCCACAGAGATCAAGAGCCCCTTGACAGAGCAATCTTCCTGGGATGTTTTCAGCTGCAAGTAACTGAACATCCAACTAACAGTGGCTTAAACACTCCATCACCCTCAGCATACCCAAAGTGTCTCCGTTCTTGGTTTTAAAGTGGCTGCAGTAGTTCTAAGCATAAGAAGGAGACAATGCCAAACAAAGAAAAAGGTGTTTCTTACCATGAGACTCTTTTATTAGGAAGAATAAACTCTCCCAAATACTCCAGCCAATTTCCCTTCATATATGTCATTATGTAGTATTTTCTGTTATTTTCTATCAAAAATTGGGTTATAGTTCTGTTAGTTATTATACATGTAGTTTATGACTTCAGGTCCCATTGGTTAGGACTGAATCTCATGCCACTGCCATAGCTGAAAAGGAAGCTGATAAAGCAAATACCTAGCATTTCAACTTCTATAGTAGGAAGTGCCTCTGCTAATACAAAAAAGGAGGAGGGAGAAGGTAGGGTTGGAGAATGACTTGAGCAGACAACCAACAGTGTCTGCCACAGGTATAGTCAACTGTTCATTCTTTTAGTAATTATTAGCTGACTGCTAATTATGTACTAGGTTCACTGCTAAAAGCCAGGGCCACAGCAATAAGACTGGCAGCATTTTTGCTCTTATCAGGCTTCCGGTCTGGCACAGAACAGAGACATTTAAAAGCAACTGTGTAATTAACTACCAACATGTTAAATACTATGAAGAGAAGTTAAATACTGTACAATCAGTAAATAATTAGCTATAAATATAAAACATTACTTTACGGAAGCATATTGACATAAAAGGCAAGATTAGAGCTATAAGTAGCAAAAGAAGTGCAGGTCCTTATGAAGTCTAAAAAAAGCAGTATGAAATTTCCTAGTATGTTGGAGAGTGAAGCACCCTATCTGGCAGATAGAGTGTCCTCATCATTAAAAAAGTTACTCCCCAAAGAGTCAGAGACCTTTCTCTGGGATTTACTACAGATCTGATAAACTATCCCTTAAGACTACCTGACTTTCTTCTACCCAACTGCATCTTCACTAAACAAATTTTGGCTTACTTCACAACTTACTCAGGTGCTTTGGATTGCAGATTGGAATTTTCCAGTCTCTGGAAAATTGTATCTGTCACAATAAGGTGTTTTTTTTTTTTTTTTTTTTGTAAATCTACTGTGAGTGTGAACAGTCTTAGGCCTGAGCCCTCTGATATGACCTGAAAACTGAGCAATCAGATCCTCAAAGCCAAAAACACAGACTGGGAACCCACAGTGCGCACTCACAGGAAATAAAGCCAGTCTTACCAGTGACAGAACTAAAAACCCACCATGTACATTCCTTTGGTAATAGCTATGGCATCAGCTAACTGCTGACTGAAGCATTTTCTCATCTGCTCCTCATTCTGCAAACCAAAAATAAATACAATGAGCACCACAATGTTTCCAAATATGAATCAGACTAATGATGAAGAGGTTCATAGTGTAATCATTATTCAAATCATTGCAATCTCTTGAAAAATTCAATTTATAATCATTTCTCCTACACTGTCTATTACAACACATTCAATTTTTACTTTATAGTTAACCAAAAGCAATAGAGAGATCACATGGATAAAATAAATGCAGATAATGCCAACACTTTATTTTATTTTACACAACTACCTTTTCTATTTGTAATTATTGTCCTCTTCTTGTCTTTGTACTTTTTGAACGAGCTATGCTCATGTAAGGAAATCCAGAGTGGTGAATACATAACCTAGAGTCATTTTCTAATTAATAAAAAAAATTTGATATATCTGTTTAGGATAACAATGAAAGATCGTACATTAAAAAATACCCTTGAAACACAACAGAAAGTCCCTGATGGAGCAGGAGAAAGGTGGGGTATAGCACTTAAATTCTAGTAAGAAGACCAGACTTGATGGTCTGACTGAGACTGGAGGTACCCCAGAAAGCATGGCCCCCGGATTCTTTATCAGCCCAGAACTAAAACAATTTCCGAGGCCAACTCTTCAGACAGGGATTGGACTGGACTGTCTGACGTAAAGCGATATTCGTGAAGAGTGTGCCTCTTAGCTCAAGTAGATACAAGACATTAAACAGGGAGCTTCTGTCCGGAGGTGAGATGGGAAGGCAGGGAGGGTTAGGAGCTGGTTGAAAGGACATGGGGAATCAGAGGTGGAAAGGAGGAGTGTACTGTCACAGTGTGGACAGACCAATTAGGGTCACATAACAATGTATGTATAAATTTTTGTATGGGAGACTAACTTGGAATGTAAACTTCATTTAAGCTACAACAATAAAAAAAAAAAATACCCTTGAATCTGTCATCAGTTCTGATTGCAGCATGGAGTGTAAACAATAAATAAACTTTAGAGTCAGAATTGGACTTAAATAACATTGTGCCATTTACTGTCTGTCTGACCTTAAACAAGTTACTTAACCTTGGCAAGCTCAGTTTCTTTATCTATAGTCACATTTCCGTTTTCGGATAGTTGAGAGACTTAAGGAGGAAATGTACTTAAGGAGCTTAGCTTGGTACTAAGTATGGTGTGGTCAACAAAAGATGGGGTTTTTTGTTGTTGTTGTTGTTTTATGGCAGAGAAACAATAGTGTTGCCTATTCTTGATGACAGGTAAGTGTGTTAACCTGACCAAAGGTTTTAGGGAATTTCTTCAAGCAGCATAGTCTTCACAACTTTGTTCCTAAAGAGCCATGAAAGCATAAGTAAGACCATATACACCTGTGGTAGAAAGCAAGAACTCAAGTCAAATGGTCTGGGTTGGAACCTAAGTTCCACCATTTTTAATTGGGGACCTTGAGTAAGTTAATGAACCTCCCTGTGTCTCAATTTTCTCATTTGTGAAATAAGGATAATAACTGTGCCTACTCCATCAGGTTATTATGAGGACTAAATGAGTTCATATACAAGTACTTAAAAAAGCGCTGGCACAAGATAAAGCTATATGTATTAGCTATTATATGAGACACAACATATGAATGATTGTTAAGGCTGTGTGTCGACTTGGCAGGGCCATAATTCTCAGTGGTTTGGCAGTTATGATGTAGTTTGGCAGTCGTATAACGATGTAATGACCTCCATGATGAGATCTGATATAATGTAATCACCTCCACAACAGGATCTGCTGTGAGTAGCCAATCAGTTGAAAGGGAGTTTTTTTGGGGGTGTGGCCTGCATCCAATATAGATGGACTTTCTGGCAAGGCTTGAGGGCTTTTGCTCACTCTGGCTCCTGCAGCTGGCTCCTGTTCATCTGACCTCTAGTTCTTGGGACTTGAGCCAGCAGCTTACCTGCCAATCTTGGGATTTATTGGCTGCCACAGCCTATGAGCCAGAGGCCTGCTGTCTGACCTTCTGATCTTGAATTTGTCAGTCCCTGTGGTTATGTGAGTCAGGAGAAGCCTCCAGCTTGGCCCACGGACGTGGGACTTTCCAGCCTGTGCAACTGCATGGGCCATTTCCTTGAAATAAATTTCTTTCTATATATATTTATACACTGCACTGGTTTTGCTTGTCTAGAAAACTCAGCTGTCTTAGTCATCTAGTGCTGCTATAACAGAAACATCACAAGTGGATGGTTTTAACGAAGATAAGTTTATTTCCTCACAGTTAAAGTAGGCTAAAAGTCCAAATTCAGGGCGTCAGCTCCAGGGGAAGGCTTTTTCTCTCTGTCGGCCTTCTTCTGTTCGGTGTTTCCCCGGACTAGGAGTTTCTCTGCCCAGGGACCCTGGTCCAAAGGACATGCTTTGCTCATGGCACTGCTTTCTGATGGTATGAGGTCCCCAACTCTCTGCTTGCTTCCCTTTCCTCTTATCTCTCTCAAGAGATAAAAGGTGGTGCAGGCCACACCCCAGGGAAACTCCCTTTACATTGCATCAGGGATGTGACCTGGGTAAAGGTAGTGTTACAATACCACCCTAATCCTCTTTAACATAAAATTACAATCAAAAAATGGAGGCCAACCACACAATTCTAGGAATCACGGCCCAGCCAAATTGATACACACATTTTTTGGGGGACATAATTCAAACCATGACACCAGCCTAAGACAATATGCAAATTAAATTGCCTTCATAAATTATTAAATTCAGAACTGTACTACACACACATTTAACTACAAGATTAATCCAGATACATAACAAAGGGCTGAGAGAACTTCTACCTGTTGATAGTGTTTCTCAATTGATGTGATCCTGTCATGTAGAGCACTGAAGAGATTGAAAGCCTCCTCTTTAAGTCGGTCCTCAAACTGCAATTGAAGTAATTGTTTGAGGAACCCAAAATCCACTTGAAGGGCTTTAACAATCTAAAAATTGAAAAACATACAGTATTGTAGAGAGTTATGGCCCTCTATGTGAAGATTCTAACACATTCCCTGGTTCTGGGCACATAACCGGGTCAAGGGGCTGTCTTGCCTTTTAAGGATTACTTCTCAAATATTTTCTGCATTGGACAATCCCAGTAATTCCATCTCATGGTGTTCAGGCTCTCAAAATGACAATCTGCTAAACTAATATATGTTAACAGACTAAGGGAGAGGAGGTTCCTAGCAATTTTTCCCCATACAGAGTAAAATATCTGTACTAACAACAACCTTTTGTCAGCCCTAAAAGTTAATTTTCAAGACACGCATTTCAGATCAGAAAAGATGGGCAGGAATAAACATTTGCTGAGAATCTACTAGTGAGGCACTTAGATATATAACCAGTGTGTTGAATAAGAACCGTTTGTGACATAATCAAAACAGAATGTATTTTTTGTCTTCCATCATCCATCTAAGATGTATTCACTAGGTAATTTTCCCCTGCCTTAAATGAAAACTTTGGAAAATTCCATGACTTCTCTGCTCATTCTCGGGAACAGGAAGTCCCACCATCACTCAAAACACAGCCTCAAAACAGCATTTAGAATACGACTACTATAAGTTAATCGCTTCAAACGTCATTCAAAGGTAAGAGTTCTCTTTGTAGTCCAAGCTAAGGGCAGTGGTTAGCAGGTGACTATCTTTAGAAGAAAGAGTGTAATCTGCTCTTGCACTCTCTCACCTGCTCTCCCACACCCTAGCTGCTGTGTCAGACTCTATCAGGGACAAAGCAGGAGAGGTAAAGGAACATGGCTGCTCCTACCTGGTAGGGTGGCTTCACCTTGGTCTGCAGGGACTGAAAACTAACTTTTCCTCCCTTGGGCACTGACATAGCTTCTCTAGAGACTCCCACTGCTGGGACTTTCTCTCCTGCGGTTGCATCTCAACCCAAGCAGATGCCTCTCTATTCTGGGTGACCACTTGCTACTCCTTCCTCTACCTCCATGAATCTGGAGTTCATTTGTTTCTTCTCCTTACTGTCAGGGGTCCTATGTCCTTCTAGATCACCCTACTGGATAGGACCCAGAATGACCTCACACTGGCTCTTTCTCATGTACAATATATGGTCCATGGGAAACAATCATACATTGCTTGCTCCAACAACACTGGGATTGCAGACTGATACCAACTTAGCCACTCTATCTTCTTGTTACAGCCCACTTTAGCTTACTTGAAGCAAGTCTTCTGTGTCTTACAGTAATAAACATATTTAAAATTCCATAGAAGTCTGCCTTATTAGCTTTGAGGTGAGGGAGAGGGCTCCTGCTACTCCTCGTCCCATGGGGAGCATGGCACTAGTTCTTTCCAAAGAAATTTCTTAGCAATATTTCCTCTTCACCCTCTGAGCCTCCCCCACCTATGATTCAAGGGCTAAAAGTAACAGATCTGATGTGCAACTATTTCCCTTGAGAATTCTAAAAATGATATCTTACTCATACTCACTTTAGAATTTGATACCTGGTATACTGGAAATCATGAAGCCCTGACGGTGTAGTGGTTAAGAGCTACGGCTGCTAATCGAAAGGTCAGATGCTAACCAAAAGGTCGGCAGTTCAAATCAACCAGCTGCTCCTTGGTTCTACTCTGTCCTATAGGGTCGCTATGAATCAGAATCAACTCGACGGCAATTAATTTGGCTTTTTTTGGATACTGGAATCCTGGGAAGAATCCCTTATTAGTATCTTTATACTTTGTGGAATGTGTTATTTAGCCTGATGACATCAAGACTGAGAGATTAAGTGACTAGTCTAACATTACACCATCAATAAGTGGAAGGTCCAAGGTTTGAACAAAGTTATGATTGACTCAGGAGTCCATACTTCTTTCTTTATACCAAGTTGCCATCTCATGAAGGGTACTATGTTGGAAAGCCATGGAAAAATATTCTGGATCTAGTAGAGTCTTAAATCCCAGGATATAAGCAGAGATGGCTTCACCTTTAGAAGAGCCATCCCTATTTGGATTGCCACACACTGATGGTGAAGATGTGAAAAGATAACATGAATGTGGTACATCGATGGTATCACAGAGCTACTGCCCTAACTTTGGATTGTCCAATTCTAAACTTCTTGTTAGGTGAAGATGTGAAAAGATAAAATGAATTTGGTACATCAATGGTATCACAGAGCTACTGCCCTAACTCTGGATTGTCCAATTCCAGACTTCTTGTTAGGTGAAGATGTGAAAAGATAAAATGAATTTGGTACATTGATGGTATCACAGAGCTACTGCCCTAACTCTGGACTGTCCAATTCTAGACTCCTTGTTTTTTGGTTAAGACAATGTAGTTGGGTTTTCAAAACATGGAGCAGTGCAATGCAGATCCATCTAAAGGAATGAGAAAAACAGAGTAAACCCAAAGATAGTAAACCAAAAGAGAGTAGAAGAAATTAAATAATAAAGAAAATAAATATACGAAGTAGAAAATAATGATATAATAGAGAGGATTAATAAATCCAAAAGTTGGGTCTCTGAAAAAAGTTAATAAAATAGATAATCTGCCAAGATGCATCAAGAAAAAAGAGGGGAGATAAATGTAAACATTATCACCTATGTAAACATAAATGGAAAACAATGAATATAGATGAAAACATAGACCACAGATGGAAAACAATCCTCAATAAAATAACAGCAAACTAAATGGAGAAATGGAAAAAGAAATATTATGATCATATAGAGTTCATTCCAGGAATTCAAGGATGGTTTAATACTCAAAAAACATTAAATTTATTTCACCACATCACCAGGTAAAAGACAAACCCCATATAACCTATGTTCATCTCAAAAGATCCATGAAAAGCATTCAAATCCAATCATCCATCATGTTTAAAAAAAGTCTCTTATTAACTAGAAATAGAAGGAAATGTCCTTAATCTGATTTAAACATATTATAATAGAATTTGTACAGCTATATAAAAAAATTCAAATAATAGAAGCATAAATAAGAAATAATTTTCTCTTTCACTAGAAATATGAGTAAGCAGTCAGTGTGAAAATGACCCAAGACCCTTCTGTCTTGTTACTCTGCTGTGTAGTGCCTCAACCTCATCCCCAATGGTGGTATCCATGCTCTAGACAGAGAAGTAAGGAAGTAAAGAAGTAAGGAACATGAGGCCGAAGAAGGAAAGAAGAAAGGGAGGGAGGGAAGGAGCAAGGGAAGCAGCAAAGGGTGCAGGTGAGCTGTGTCTTAGAGAAATTTTCCAAAAGTTGCTACAAAACTTTTTCATCTAAATTTTACTGAGCAGAACTTAATCACACCTAGTTGCAAGGGAATTAAAAAAAAAAAAAAAACTTTTCTGAAGGCGTAAAAGAAGACCTAAATAAATTGACAAATGTGTAGGAAAAGAGACACTCTCAAAAGTTACTAGTGGGTGTGTAAATTGGTACAACCTCTCTACAGGGCAATTTGGGAATATCTTTCAAAATGACTAATGCATACATCCTCTGACTCAGAAATTCCACTTTTAAGAATTTACTCCACAGATTTATTGGCATAAGAGTATGTGCAACATTATTCATTGCAGTAAAAGATTAAAAATAACCAGAATGTCCATCAATAGGGGGATATTATGTACATTCACAAAAGGTAATACAACATATTTGTGAAATAAATAAACTCTTTATGTACCAATATGGGATGACTTTCAAATTATATTATTAAAGGAAAACAAAAACAATATCAAAGTACACAAGAGTATTTTTACTAGTACACTACCTATATGACAGTTTTACTGATTGGAGTCTTTAATAATAGCTCTTGAGAAAGGTCATGGAAGCTCCATAGACACATCCAAACTCCCTGAGGGACTGAACTGCTGGGTGGAGGGCTAAAGGGACCATGGTCTCAGGGAACACCTAGCTCAATTGGCATAACACAGTTTATAAAGACAATGTTCTACATTCTACCTTGGCGAGTAGCGTCTGGGGTCTTAAAAGCCTGTGAGCAGCCATATAAGATACTCCACTGGTGTCACCCCTTCAGGAGCAAGGGAGAATGAAGAGAACAGGATACAAGGAAAAGATTAATCCAAAGGACTAATGGACACAGCTACCAAGGCCTCCACCAGTACCGGCTACCACCACTGATTGCTCTGACGGGGATCACAACAGAGGGTCCTGGACAGAGCTAGATGTAGAACAAAATTCTAACTCACAAAAAAATATCAGATTTACTAGCCTGACAGACTGGAGAAACCCCAAGAGTATGGCCCCCAGACACCCTTTTAGCTCAGTTGGGAAGTCACTCCCGAGGTTCACCGCTCAGCTGGGGATCGGACAGCCCCATAAAATAAAACGGGACTAATGAGGTACAGCGGTCCAGGAAAATGACTAGAAGTCAAGATGGGACAAGAAAGCTGGTGATAGGGAGCCCGAGGTTGAGAACGGACAGTGTTGACATGTCATGGGGTTGTTAACCATTGTCATAGGGCAGTATGTATACTAAATGTTTAATGAGAAACTATTTGTTCTGTAAACCTTCACCTAAGGTACAAAAAAAGAATTATCTATGTGAGATCAAATTGACAACAGCAACTCAAAAGGTTTGATGGGAAGCCTAGGGGGCAGTGAGTTGAAGATAATGGTGAT